GGGTATAGACTGGTAATAAAAAAATAAAACATCATCGGTACAGTGACACATGAGACACTTGAAACACTGCCAAGTGATAACTGTGTCACTGTGAAGTGTGGCGTGCCAAGTCACATTGCGAAGCAGTGACAGCACCCTATAGTGTCTCTATCACAACTACTCAATCTGCCATTGGAACACAAAAGTAGCCATGGACAATGTGCAAATGAATAAATGTGGCTGTGTTCCAAAAAAACATTATTTATGGACACTGAAATTTGAAATTCATGTCATTTTCATGCATCATGAAATATTATTTTTCTTTTCCTTTGTTTCAACTATTAGAATATGTAAAAAAAAAATTTTAGCTTGAAGGACCTGTTAAAAACAGATGGCAGGCCATAATTTGGTAAATGGAAGATTGTTTCAAGATGAAGCCTAGAAAATAGCCACTGGGCCAGGCACGGTGGCTCATGCCTGTAATCCCAGCACTTTGGGAGACTAAGGCAGCAAAATTGCTTGAACCCAGGGGGCGGAGGTGGCAGTGAGCCGGGATCAAGCCACTGCACTCTTCTCAAAAAAAAAAAAAACCGCTGCAACTCTCAGTTATTTGTTGAACTCAGAGGAAGCAGTTGGACAATGTGAGAAAAACTGCAGATGGTGAATTGAAGGTGAGAGAACGAATATGGAAAGTATAAGCCATCTTTTTGCAAAATATGGCTCTAAAATGGAGGAAAGAAATGATGTAATTTAAGAGAAGACTATTGGTTAAAATAGGTGCAACTTGATAATGAGCACTTAAATCTCCATTTCTTCTTTCTTCTTTAATAAGGAAAATAATAGCTATCTTGATGTTTCTTAGAACAGTCAAATGAGATAAAGTATGTTTTAAAGGCACCAGCATGATGCCTAGCATATAGTAGGTTCTCAAGAGTTAATTAATAAATATTCTTGTATACTTCTTATTTGCTTCGTGAAAAACAAGAGTTTATTGCTTCCCATGTAGCTTTGTTATTTAGTTCTTGAACTATTTTTTTTTAAATCAAGGTTGTATTGCCTTAGTGAGGTGCTTTGAAAGTTGTTAAATAAATCAGAAGTTAACTGATTGGTCAGGATACTATATTACAATTTTAATAATTTGGATTTTGTAACTTCCCCAACTTTCCGCCTGCTAGACTGAATTCTAATCTTTTTAGTCTGTCTTCACATGGGAACCACTTCATCCTTTCTGTCATTTTCATTGCCTTTTTAAAATCATACTAAAATTAGATAAATAATTATACAAATGAATCATACAAATCATACACTGGTTTGGTATATTAGTGGGCTTATATTTATTTTTATTACTTTTTTAATATAACTTTTTTTCTGTAAGTCATACCTAGAGTTACCACATGACCCAGAAATTCCACTCCTAGGTATATACCCCAAGATAAGTGAAAACATATGCCCATGCAGAAACCTGTATGTGAGTGTTCACAGCAGCCTTATCATAATAGCCCCAAAGTAGAAATAACCTAAATATTCAGCAACTGATGAATAGATAAATAAAATGTGTATATCTATACAGTGGAATTTCATTTGGCCATAAGAATACGTGAGGTACTGATACAGGCTACAGAATGAATAAAACTTGAAAATATTTTGCTAAGCTTTAGAAGCTCATCACAAAGACCACTTATTGAATGATTCCATTTACATGAAATGTCCAGAATAGACAAAATGATAAGGACAGGAAGTAGGTTATTGATTGCCTAGGACTTGGGGGTGAGGATTAGGGGAGAAATACCTATTGGAGTTTCACTGTGGGTCGATGCTTTATATTCTGTGTCTGATAATCTGGTATCTGGAGTCCCTGTGGATGTGTCTTTTGAATGTTGTTTTGCTAGAGGGATATTTTCTCCTCCTGCATCTGTCTGTATTTGACTGTGTGGAGGACTCTGTATTTGAGATTTTATTGTCAGAAATAATTTGAAGCCTAGATGGATGTTACATTTTTTCAAAAAAGAATTTTGCTCATTTTTTTCAGGCACTCGGGGATGCCAGCAATCAGGTATCACCGTTTTATTTTTTTGTTTGTTTTTTGAGCAGGAATGAAAGTTTATTAAACAGCTTTAGCGCAGGAATGAACAGAAAGTAAAGTACACTTGGAAGAGGGCCAAGCGGACATCTTGGAGTTCAAGTGCAATCAGGTATCATCCAATCCTAGGCTAGAGGTTTTCTGGGCTACCTGAAAAATTTGAATGGCACTGGGTAGCAGACTGCAAGGGCTGGTTTACTTCCACTTCACCTCTGGTTCCTGGGTACAGTCAGTGCCGTGTCAAGCCACAGTGGAGCCCGAAGCAAAAGAAACATCAGTAATACTGATCTTGTCTTCATTTAACATTTTGATATTTTGTTCATCATGGATTTTTTCATTAATTTTGATCTTTAAAAATAGTGCATTAATACTTATCTGGATTACTGAGGTTTTTTTTGGTCCTCCTAAATTTTGTGGACATGGTGAGTACTTCACTGACCTCACACTACTTCCAGCCTTGGTATCTGCCTTGGGATTTGTACACCCTGGGCAATTTGAAGAGAACAGTTGTGGTTCCCTCCAACGTCCTACAAAATCCCATGAAGGTTTCCTCCTTTATGATACCATTTATAATTAACTATAAGACTTCCACAGGATTGGGGGGCCAATACATCACATTCAGTAGGCTTATCAGACTACTTTTCATCCTCAAAGTAATGGGTTAATAGAAAATTGGAAGGAATAAAAGCACGTGCTCATGCCTGTAAATCCCAGCACTTTGGGAAGCTGAGGCGGGCGGATCACCTGAGGTAAAATTATTATTTTAGAAGCTAATACAACATATAATATTGATATTAACAATCAAATATATTGGGATATTGAACTAAATTCCCTTCAGCATATTATCCCTATGGAGTAGGATTGGCCTGAAGCATTATTTTGACTTCAGCAACAATAATTATAGTTTATAATCACTCAGCAGATACACACTACAAAGTACACACTGCTACAGATTAAGTAGGCAAATGACTTGCTGTAAAGTTAATTCAAATATATGAGAAAGCGTACGCTAGAATTTTTGGTTGGTTCAGCCATCTGTAGCAAAGTCCAAACCAACTGGTTATTAAAAATGTGTGGAATCTGTATATACACTTTGATAATCTATTTGGTTATATGATATTGCAAGACAAGTGGTAGCTCTCCAACTAGGAGTGATCATTTTGTCACGAGAAGGCCTTGATCACGGATCAGGAACGTAGACCACACTGTGGATTGTTTTGAGCATGACTATTTTCTGAGGCGGAAACTCCCTCCCACACACACAGGGCGGTGGTGGTGCTGGAGTTACAAGAAAGATAATTGATGTAGCAAATTCTAAAAAACGACAAAGATTAGGATCAAAGGATGTTTGTGTGGATTAGACTTGGTCAGAAGGTTCACCTCTTCTTCTGTAGCAGTGAGAGAAGTGACCCTTTATACAGGGTTGAGAAGCAAGTGCATGCAATGAGATGAAGGCCCTGATTTTTCTCTCTGGAAGCTTAGGTAGTATAGTAATCCCTTCGTCCAGAGTTTCACTTTCAGCAGTTTCAGTTACCAGTGGTCAACCATGGTCCAAAAATACTAAATAGAAAAATCCAGAAATAAATAATTCATAAGTTTTAAATTGCACGCTCTTCTGAGCTGCGTGATGAAATCTTGCAGTGGCCCACTCCACTCCCTCCACCTGAGACGTGAATCCTCCCGTCCAGCGTATCACACTGTATATACCACCCGTCCTTCAGTCGCTTAGCAGCCACCTCGTTATCAGACCACAGTCCTGGTATTCAAGTAACCTTATTTTACTGAATAATGGCTCAAATGCAAGTCTTGATGCTGGCAATTCGGACATACCAAAGAAAAGCGTAAGTGGCTTTCTTTAAGGGAAAGGTGAAAGTTCTCAACAAGAAAAGAAAAAGTTGCATGTTGAGGTTGCTGAGATCCATGGTAAGAACGAGTCTCCTCTCTGTGAAGTTGTGATAAAGGAAAAAGAAATTCATGCTAGTTTTGCTGTCACACTACACATGGCAAAAGTTATGGCCACAGTGCACTGATAAGTGCTTAGTTAAGGTGGAAAAGGCATTACTTTTTGTTTGCAAGACACGAACAGAAAACATGTTCCCAACTGACAGCCATGTGTTGCACCAGATTAACTTTATCATAGGTCTGCATGTATAAGAAAAGGCACAGTACACATAGGGTTTGGTACTACCCATAGTTTCAGGCATTCACCGGGGATCTTGGAACATATCCCCTGAGGATAAGGGAGAACTACTTACTGGAAAGGAAAGGAGAAAGAAACTTAACCAGAATAGGCAAATGTATATAAACGTATAGGGGATTGTAAACTGAAGGAACTAATGCCTGATGGTCTCTATTTCCTCTGTGAAAAATAAAACAATATGATCAGCTAAGAAAATGTAGTGAAGGTTTGAAATAGCTACTGAGGAGGACACAGAGAACTGTGTAGCAGAATTGTCGGGTAGTATTTAGGCCTGCAAATATATACCCTAATTTGCACCAATCCACACAACTGGATAGATTTCTCAAGCAGGATTCAGTCCCTGTATAGGACTAATAGGTGTTTCTGTAATGGATGTAAAAGGAACACCAGGATGTAAAAGAGTTAAAGGTGTTAGTAAGGGTATGGTTGAAACCTGTGACTCATTTCAAAGTACACAATCTATGCAGATTTTTCACAAAAAACACATTCAGCAACTTAAGAACAGAGACCCTTCCTTTCCGGGGCCTAGGATTACTCCTTATACTCAGAAGATATTCAGATATTTTTGAATGAATGAATGAATTAATAAACAAAAATCTGACTTTGCTAAGCATTGCTGAATGTAAGTATTAGGTTTACTTTTGTGATGAATATGTTAATTATTTTAGAGAATCAGAATTCTGTATCAAGAGCCACATTCCTATAATTTACTTACACTAAAATGACTAGACCAATGCCAAATTCAGTCTGGAACACAAAAGTTTATTAGAATAAAAATACACATACGGTATCAACACTAAAATTATTTCACATCGCATATAGGTTTTACCTCCATTAGTTTTTTTTAATGCTTATAAAGTCTATGCTCTAAATAATTTGCACATTTGTAAACAAATCTTAGATTACCAAAGATGCAGTGTATCTATCAGATATTGAATATCAAAACTTAAGGATGGGAACTGATAGCGAAATCCAATTACACTAAACATTCCTGTAAATTTTTGGAAAGCGAGGAAAAGATTAAAATAATTCACTTGAAATGAGGTAAGATGTATATGAAAAGGTTTTTAGTAGCATATATCACAATGTTGAGATGAGAATATTAAAAACATTCATGGAAAATTCACTTTGATGTTTTGCATAGTCTAGGTTATTTTTTAAAAAACAAAAAATTAAAAATTACCCAAATTCCTTATTAGAAAGAGACAATTACCTGGTTCTACTTAGGATCCGTGTATGTTCTAAGTCTTTCTCTCCTTTATAAAAAAAAAGAGATTATCTGATTCTATTTAGGATCTGTGTACATTCTAAGTCTTTCTCTCATTTAGAGAAAGACATTCTCAAGTCTATAGAAAAGGAAAAAAAAATTAAGATTAGGACCAACATTTCAAGCTGCCTTTTGGAAAGAAAATTAAAAACAGAGGTAGATGGTTAATTATTAGTGGCCAAGTTACTCAGGTGACTAATTTTTGTCTTGGTACACATTCACCAAAATTTTATACTTGAAGCCAAATAGTAAATAACTTTAGGAGTAGAGAGTAATACCTAGCAGAAGTTATTTTCTTTATGTCAAAGAAAAGTAATAGAAGCAAACCAGGCTTACGACCCCTGTTAAGGAGATGATTGTTTAAAGCACTACAGTTCATGCACTTTTCAAAGCAGGATAATGAACCTTGCCCCTAAGCTTCTTAGGTGTATCTGAGGCCAGCCACAAGCTCCATCAGGCCTGTTCAGTCCAAGTAGGACTGCAGGGTGCCTCGGCGCCGGACATCGCAGGTCCAGCAGTGGAAGCCTCCTCCCAGGGAATTGGCATTACGAATGTTAACTTTAATGGTAGTGATACCTGCATTGAAAGAGAGATGAGGTCAGTTAGATGGACTAACACGAAGATTCTCCTAGAGAAGGTAGGCCTACAGATTTGGAGGAATCTTGTGGTTCTAATCCTTAAGGATACCCAATCCAGAATAGTCTTTTCTCTTCCAATTTTATTTTCACCAACTATATTTCATCTGCTAATATAAAATCTTCTCCAAAAAGTCAACAGAGAACTCTGAAGTTTTGTTCTATTGACTATTCACAAGTCAACAGACTGAGCAGGTATACCTATCAAATGTTCAAGATGGTCAAGTACTAAAATCTCAAGGCCTTTTAGAATTACACGTTAACTACTTTGTCAGACTGTTTCTAATTTTACCATGTTACTTTAATAGGCAAAGCAAAATTTAGCTGACCTGAAAAGTTGACTTTACATATTCACATATAAGGAGAGTTTACTGATACAGATTAACTTCACCAGGCCACCATAAGGAAACAATGGAACACAGCTGGTGTTTTAATATCTGGGTTTGTATGGTTATACAGGTACCAAAGCAAATCCAGCAATCAGTTTAATCTGGTACCATCTGTAATAACAAGGCTATGATGTGCGGGGCCTATTTAACCAATGGTATTTAGGAAGAATCTGTTGTGTTAGACATAGTGGGGTTTTAAAAAGAAAATCTATTCTTCCTCCTCAAGAAGCTAATTATTTTGAGAGGAGGATAGGCTACAAAGTCACTAAGGGTCCATTGGTATAGCCAGGGAGAGGACGGTGGCATGAGCCATTCAGAAAGACTTTCCTAGTCGGGCATGGTGGCTCACACCCATAATCCCAACGCTATGGGAGGCAGAGGCGGGTGGATCACTTGAGGTCGGAGTTCGAGACCAGCCTGGCCGAGTCACTCTCTACTAAAAATACAAAATTAGCCAGGCATGGTGGTGCATGCCTGTAATCCCAGCTACTCAGGAGGCTGAGGCAGGAGAATC